TGTTCTGACAAGAGAGTGAATATTTAATTGAGCAAGGTTATTTCTCATGGCATGGTAGAGATAATGTAGTACACACAAAAAAATAATTATTCAGTGCAAGTGCAAGTCAAGTCTTGAGTTTATAAACTAGACAGATGAACATGATACGGTTTTGATGCTGAGCACAGAAAAAAACGTCCTCTGGTTAGTTGGTTACTATGAAGATCTATTCACAATGTACTAACCTATCCTTCCTCTTTGGTCTGAATCATCAGTTGGGTTCAGGACGATACTGATACCTTAATTCTGAAATTAAGAGCACTTCTCTAGTTTGGTCCAGAAGACTAACTGAGGCTTAGTCTTAACGAGCTGATGATTTTCTCTGATACTCAGAACTCAGTTTAGGAAACCAATTCTGCCCTGCAAAACTTAGCAGGAACTGAAAGTAAGCATTTGTAAAATTCATTATCAAAAACTTTAAGAATATTTTTCATGCTAAAGTGGAGCTAGAATTAAAGTGGCGAGATGCTTACTTTCTTGTTCATTGTTGAAAAAAATAACCTGAAAATTATTATAGAAATTAAGAAACTTAGTTTATTGTGTTAATTGTAACAGTGTCTGAGGCATCAGCCGTAACAGATCTCATTTATGTAATACAAACAGAGGTAGAGGAATCTCTGCTTACAGTAGATTCTTTAGTCTCTGTTAAGGTGACTTACTAACTGGATCCAGCAAGAGTCATCTTGCCTAGAAACAGCTATCTAAGTATGCAGTCGGATATATATACAAGGAAGAAATTCGCACTCACTGTCATAACGTTAATTTGGCTGTTGGGACTGAGGACATGCTCACTGCTGTTAGAGACCACTCAATAACTCGGTACAAGAAGGGGAGTTTTGGCTCATTTGTACAGATAAGGATGCTTCCACGCTGGGAAGAACACTTCTGCAAACACTGTTGGCTGAAACCGAGGCAGAAAATTTAAACACCAAGGAGGAAAAAAGTGACATGAAGCAATTTGTCAAAGGGATCGGAGTCATTAAGATGAAGGCGGCTGGGTGAACTTCAGAGACTGAAAGTTTCCTTAACCTGGTAGCATACTATTGCAGGCTGGTGCCTCGTTTGAGTACCACCACAGTTCCTGCATCACATCCATTCAGGAAATCCAAGCCTGACCAGTACCGACTGGACTTCACAGATGTCAGAGGGTTCCTGATTTTCAAGAAATCTTAAACCTGTTGACGAAGCATGACTTTGCGGAAGCTTTTGTGTTCTAAATCAGAGTTTCAGAAACTGATTTC